AAACCATGGGGGACACTGAGAGAGTCACCTCAAACCATGGGGGGACACTGGGAGGGTCACCTCGACCCACGGCTGTGAGGAGGACGGACACAGGAGGATGTCTGGGCAATAGGGAGACTGGAAAAGCAGCTCCTGAAGGATTTACCAGGGAAATGAGTGTGAGAGAGGGGAAGGAGGCAGCAGCCACAGCTCGTGACGTTCCACATCGATTGGGCAAACACGAGGGCCTGGGCACAGGGAGGCTCCAGCAGGGCAGAGCTGCCCAGGGCACCATCCCAGCCCCACAGCACAGGGAGACATCCCCAGCACAGCCCCAGTGCAGCCAGCCTGCCCCAGCACAGCCCCAGTGCAGCCAGCCTGCCCCAGCACAGCCCCAGTGCAGCCAGCCTGCCCCAGCACAGCCCCAGTGCAGCCAGCCTGCCCCAGCACAGCCCCAGGGGCAGCTCAGCCCCAGCTCCCTGGCCGAATCTGCTGCTTCTCCTTCGCCAAGAGAGAAAATACCACCACAAACTGCTCTCCAAAATCACCAGGAGCCAAAGCCCTGCCACTGAGGGCATCAGGGGCTCTCCCAAACTGCATTAACAGCAAATACAGACACTGCTGCCAGGGGGACAAGGCAGGATCAGCTCCACACTGAGCTTGTTCTCCCCAGCAGCCCCAAAGATCTGTTTTGTTCCTGGCCTGGGAACCTGCAGCTCTGTTTCAGCAGCAAACTGGGGACTTACCCAATTCTTTCGATCCCTGGCTTTCACTGGCCAACTCTCCCATCTTCACCAGAGCATCAAAGTACCCTTTTGCTGCGTACGTCATGCCTAAAAAGCACCAAAAAATAGAGGTTATGTTCTCCTTAATGGCTGTTAGAATTTCTGGGGCACTGAGGAGATCCTAGACACTAAAACAGGTATTACCTCAAAGGGCCTAACCCACGGGGAGAGACCACACAACAAACAGAGGAAAAGTGAGGAAAGAAAGCTGGAGCAGTGAGATTACAGGGTAATTTAGCATTAAAAAAGGTATGTGCAGGACTGGGGTGGTTTTCATTGCAGTGCAAGCATCAGGCTGCTAATGCTGCTCGGAGAAATCACTGCGGAATAATTGAATATCACAGACTTTCATTATAGTTCAGCCTTGTTTGTTGACATTCCAGCTACACACTTGACTCTAATCAGATAAGCAGGGGGTTTCCTCTAATCACAGAACACGCTGTACAGCCCCAGCCTTCCAACGCTGCCTCTGCTCTGCCTCCTGGGCTCTGCCCTTCCTCCAGCTGCCCCCCAGCTCGGCCATCCGAGGGGAAGGATGCTCCAAGCCAAGTTAAAAAATTACAGGAAGATCCTTGGCTGCAATGTGTTTTCACAGCAGGGCTGTGGGAAAAGCACGAGCCCAGCGATCCCAGTGCTCATCCCAGGCACGCTTGGTGGGACAGGGGATGGACAGATCCAGCTCCCAGGTAACTGCAGCTGAGTTAAAGGGAGGAGGTTTCAGGAGAATAAATTAAAAACACAATCCCAAGGGGAAGCAGCTCCTCTCCCTGTCAGACCCTGCCTCTGCTCCCTTCCCTGCTGCCAGGAGGGAACCAGCAGGGAAAAGCACCCCCAAACCATGAGCCCCACTGCGCTGGCACCCCCAGGAATTGCTGGGAAAGCCTCTGCCCATGAGGGTGCCCCATGGCCTTTCCCTGGGATCAGAGTCCGCAGCCCCCGAGCAGCGGAGCTGGACGGGCACTTCCCCGTCACGGCCGGCTGATCCATTAAATCCCAGTTTAAACCAGTGCCCAGCGCTGGCAGGACGCTGTGTCCGGGGCACCTGGGAACAGGGGGAGGGATTAAAAATCCTGATGGAAACAGCCAGGAGCCTCACCTGACTTGAGGGACAGAAATCGTGCTGCGGGCAGGAGCGGGAGCAGCGACCCTTCCCAAAGGTCGGGTCCCAAATCCCGGCACTTCGGGACAGGAGACACCAAAGTGTTTTTCCCCCGCTGGCTGAAGATGATGACAGACTCTCCCCCACGGGAATATTCACATTTTATTCAAAAATAAAATCCGGGAGACCCGTGCAGCTCTGAAGGGAGCAGAGCCCTCCCTGGAAAAACACAGCTCTGGGTTGAGCAAAGCTTAAACCTCCTTAAAACCCAGCTGAGGAGAGCCCAGGCAGTGCACAAAGCAAATTGAAGTCAAAATAATCCATTTTGGGGTTTAATAAATTCCTAGCTTCCTTCTGATCACTTAAATCTGCACCTCCCTAATGGCTCCCAATAGGATCCCGCATTCCCAATCAACAGCTGCCATCAAGGCTTTGAGGCTTTTCCCTTCTCTTCATTCTTCTGGGCAATTTAAACATTTCAATAACGCCTCTTTAAGCAGAACTTAAAATCTCAATTCTCAATATTTTAAACAAGCATTAAAGATGAACTGCTTGGGGATGTGTTTTGTTATCCTGCTGCTTCCCAACATTTTCTCCCTGGGATCTCTCCCACATCCATGGCCTTGCACATCCCAGCGAGGTCCAAGAATCGTCCTCCCAGCTCCTTCCCCACGGGAACGAGGAACTTTTCAACAAAACCCCGAAGATTTCCAACAAAAACCAAAGATTTTCCAGCTTTCCCCAATGTCACTTACTTGCTAAGGCTTTTTCATAGGTCTTCCCCATAGAAATGAAATTCCTGAGGCTGGGATTGAACTGCTCCATGATCGTCTAGAGGGAAGAGAACAGCGTTGGGGTTAGCAGGGATGGTGGGAGGTGGAGTGAACAGCTCTGTGCTCGACAAAGAGAAAGCAAAAAAATCCCCCCAGCTCCCTGGAAGATGCCCCAGGATCCTCCCTCATCCTGCAGCTTCGCTGGGGAGGACCAAGCTGGGTTTGAGCACCACGAGGGACAGAACCAGGGGGCTCTGCTCTTCCAGGAGGGGAAAGTGAGTGCCCCAGCCAGAAAATTACCAGCTATGGCAAAAATAACCATAACAGCAGCTGCAAGTGGCTGTTTGGGGCAGCACCAGCCCTCGGACCAAGCAGGGAGGTGCCCCAAGAGCGGGGAGTGGTGGCAGGGGATGTCCTGCTCCCAGGATGGCCACGGAGAGCAGCAGCAGCCCAGCCCATCCCAGACAGGCAGGAAGGGCTGGAGAGCAGAATTCCAGCCAGGAGTGAGGCGAGCAGAGCCCCCAGCAGCCCCGGAGCTGTGCCAGGAGCTGCCCCTGGGTAGCACCGGGGGCACTGCCCAGAGCTGGGGGTGACCACGGGCCTGAGCTCTCCCTGCCTCGCTCCAAGGCCCTCGGTTCACATGGGGGAAGGAATAATCGGATCAGGGAGAGGAAGAAGGGCTCTTTGTGTGCTTGGCCCCGCAGGCACAGCCCTCCCTGCCAGGCCCTCACCCCGACACCGATCCCAGCCCAGCCCCGGGACAGGCACAGCCTCCACTCTCCGGGATCCCCCAGAACGAGCCCAGTGCCAGCCCGGGGCTGGTCCCAGTCCCCTGCCCCACCCTGGGGACACCCAAGGTGCCACCTGAGAGCGGAGCTCAGAGCCCCAAACAGCCCCGAGCAGGGATGCACCAAGGCCATTCCTGCGGGATGGGGGCTCTGCACCCCCGGGCTGCTGGCAGAGTCCCACCCCGGGCAGGGAGGGAAGACAGGCAGACACTTACGGGGAATAAGCTGATTAAGCATCTGTCACCTCATCTGAGGCTGCCCGAACACTATAAAGCTCATTTTCTGCCTGAGGCATTTTTATCCCAGCTCCTGCTGCCCGGCCCTTGAGTCTGACAGCTGAATTTTCTCCCCACGTGTGCAGGGCTCAGCCAGAGCCCTCTTGGCTGCAGACAGCCCTTTTTGGGTTCCTCTGGGCAGGATCTGCACCCCTCAGAGGGCTGGCATCACCCCAGTGCTGGTATTTCAGGAGAAATCCTGTTAATCCTTCCTGGCTGCTGGGAGCAGCAGGCTGAGGATGGCTGCAGTGTCCCCAAAGCCTGAACCCAGCAGCTCCTCACAGCACCAGCCACAACTGCAAAGGGCAGAAGATGATTGACAAGGCTAATGAGGAGATGTCCCGCTAATTACGGCTGCGGGCCAGCAAGGCAGGGCCCCTGGAAGGTGTTTTGGGGCAGCTCAGAGCACTTTGCTGGATGTGCTCAGTGAAAGGAGAAAATGAACCTGTAGCAACAAGCCAGGTGTTGTGCAGCGTGTAGGAGACAATTGCACAGGAGTTAATTACCACTGGCGAGGATTGCTCCATCCTGCCCACATCACGTTTAACTCCAGCCCAAAATCTCCCTGGGTTACCTCACAGGGCAGGGACAGGGACAGGGACACGTCCCCAGCTCTGGCAGATCCCCTGCTGCAGCTCCACCGGCTCAGCCCGAGCGCTCTGAGGCTGAGCACTGTTTAAGCAGCAGAAATGTTGGCAGGATTTCTGCAGGGAGGAGATTTTTCGGCGGTTTGCAGGTTCAGAGCGGTGTTTGTGTACGTGGATGTGCACAGGGATATGTAAATAGTGTGATTTTCTCAGCAGTGCCCGTGTAAACACATGGTCCCGAGCACGAAACCGAGGGAATTAATGATGGAACAGGATCCCCAGACAAAGCAGCGTCCGGAATTCAGCACATCTTACCCAAACCAGAGGGAATCAAAGCACAACCCGGCCCTGGCACTGCTCAGGGCAGGTCCTGCTCCCCACTGATCCACAGGAGAGGTTTTAAAGCAACAAATAAAGAGATAAAAGCCCCCAAAGGGTCTCACGGAGCAGCCGAAGGAGCGGGGAGGTGACTCTGTGCCGGCCAAATAAAATTCACCAACCCCCAGGAGGAAGTTTGCTGAAAGTGAGTGTTTTTAAAACATTGTCTGGAGCCTCCAACAAAAACAGCCTGGCAGGATGAGAGCAGTGAAAAGGGCTCCTCACTCCAGAGATAAAAATAGCCTTTTCCAAGCCTTCCTCTCACTCCCAGGGTGGGAAGGGAAGGTGACTCCAGAGCCTTCACACCCCCTCCAGGTGAGAGCCCCAGAGCCCCAAGGACAAAGGGTGGAAAATGAACAGATTTGTGCCATGGAATGGCTCAACAGCATCAGCCCCACAGGCAGGGGGGTGCTGGAGCTGCTCCCCTGCCAGCACAGGGCTCATCCCCCTCCGTGGGGGGACGAGGGGCTCTGGCAGGGCTGTCCCCCACGGGAGAGGTGAATCCAGGTTTGCAGGACACCAACAAATATTCGGTAACACTGTGGCAATGAAAGCAAATCTCATTCTCCCCAGATTTTGCCCCCTCAGCAGCACCCACAAGCTGTTTGCCTTCCATGGGCTGCCTGGGCAGAGTTCAGAAAAACACAGACACAAAACCTGGCAGCCAAGGGTTGAAAGGGCTTTGCTTTGTTCCACTGTGCTGAATTCCCTGGGTAATACCACTCAGCTCTCCGGGATTGGCACGGCTTTATTCAGCTGCCAAAAATGAAACTAATGCAAAGCACAAGGTCTCCAGGACACGGCCCTGCTCCGTTTGGTGAGGGAAGAGGCAACAGAAACAAGGTCCCTTTTCTCCCCTCTGAGCACACTCCAGCTACAGCCAGGACGCTCCAAGCCCACAAGGAAAAGTTTAGAATCATGGAAAAGAATAAAATATCCTGAGCTTGGAAGGAGCCCACAAGGATCATGGAAGCCCAGCTCCTAAATCCCAGGTTTAAGTCCAACTCAAGCTGGGATTGGACTTGGCTCAGGCTCCTCCTGGCTCAGGCAGGTCCTGCACAAGCCCTGAGCACACCCCTGGAAGGGCTCAAACAGGGATGTGGCACCTGGGGACGTGGCTCAGTGGCCTTGGCAGTGCTGAGGGAATGGTTGGATCTGATGGTCTCAGAGGCCTTTTCCAACCTTCTGAAGGATTTTGTGGCTCCCTGCAGGTCTGACACGGCCCAGGGGCCTGGGCTTCCCTGAGTGACCGTGCATGGAGGGGCAGCACCAGGGGACCGTCCCCTGCCGCTGTCACACTGCAGAAGCAGCTCAGCTCTAAGGAAGTTTTGTGTCTAAATGGGTCAGCCCTGCTCCAGGAGCACCTTCATCATGTCCCCATCAATATTTAATGCCCAGCAAAGCCCAGCACTGCCTCCTCCATCACAGCTTGTCCTGCCCGGCGCCATCAGGAGCAGCCCTGGGGGTTTCAAGAGCCAAGTTTCTGTCAAGAAAGAGCCCAGCTGGCAAAATCAGGGAAAAAACCAGTCCCCATCTAAAAGCATTTAGTTTCTCCTGGCTGTCACACCAAGGGACGAGAGGACCCAAGTCTCAGGGCAGGAGCTCTGAACATCTTTGTGTCGGGGTCTGGGTCTGAAGGGGGCTGGGATGAGGATCCACACGGGGCACAGAGCACCCCAGCACCGCAGGGCCTGTACCCAGCAGCTCTCCCCCCTGCAAGGCACGGCCATCCTCGCGTCCTCGGGGCTGGGATCTCCACCGAGGAGCCACAAGGGTCCCCCAGCCCCCTCCCCAGAGCTGTGGCACCGAGGGGCTCAGGAGCTGCGAGCAGCGCCCCGTGCCCTGCCCTGCAACACGAGCACAGCACTGAAACCTTAACCAGGGGCAGGCTGGGCACAGGCAGGCCCCGAGGGCAGAGCAGCACCCCGGGAGCAGCGGGCAGCCCCGGCAGGAGCTGTGGCAGCACGGGGAGCGCTGGGGGACAGCGGCTCCCCAGCTCCTGGAGGAGCAGTGTCTGCAGCTGTCCCATCTCCAGGAGCCAGGGATGCTCTGCCGGGCTGGCAGGGGATGGAGCAGCGTGGCCACCCCAGAGCCCCCGGCAGTGGCGGAGCAGAGCCGTGGTGCGGCGGATCGGAGCGGAGCCAGCGATCCCTGGCGTGCTCAGAGCCCCCGATGTCCCACGGCTGGGAGCAGAGACAGCGGGGAGCACAGGACATGGCATTTAGGGTGCCACGGGTGCCTGCTCCCTCCTCTGCCACACACATCATCCCTCCGCTGCCAAAGCCACCAAAGCAGCCGCAGCTTCCCTCCTGAACCACTCGAGGAAGGATTGCTCCCATCCCTCTGGAGCTGGGCATGAGGAGCAGAGGTTGTGGTACCACAGGAACATCGCCTGCAGCTGACAGGGAGCAAAGGACCCTCAGGAATTCTGTCCACGTCTCTGCACAATTCAGCTCCGAGCTCGGGGTGTTGTTAGGCAAACACCTCTTCAAACGCCGAGCTACTCGCACACCGCTGCGAACCCATCTTCCGCATGAAAAAATGGCTTTAAAATGAAATGGAGGTTGGGCTGCAAACGGCAATAATCTCATCTGGCAGGAGGAGACAGATCTGTCTTCGGGGGAAGGAGGAATTGCCAGTCCCTGCTTTCTGCAAAAAGACAATCCGGAGTAAGGGATGAGCGGGGAGGGATCTGCCCATCCTCACACCGCAGCCCCGGGGCTCACGGCAGAGCCCAGCCCGGCAGCTGTGCCGCTACGCCGGGGTCCTGGAGTGAATCAGCACCGGGAAAGGTGGGATTACGTTGGCGGAAGGTGCCAGCAGCCTCCGTCTCCCTCTGTAATTACTCCCCGTGTGTAGGCAGCTGCCTGTAGTGGCAGCATCGGCTCGGGGGCGGCTGACAGCTCCTCCACCAGCTCATTAGCACAGTCACTCCGAGGGTGAGCGCTGCTTCTGGAAAACCATGACAATGGGCTTCCCGAGCAGAACGCCTCGGGAAAGCCGGAGCGGGCGCCTGCCGTGGGGAGCTGCTGCTCCCGCTCCAGCCGCGGCCACCGGGGGAGGCAAAGCGAGGGTCAGACCCCAGGCCGGGCCCCCACGGGCTCGGGGACATCGTCCCCTCCCCGGGGGTTGTCTCCTCCTGCCCCATGGCAGCGCTCAGGCTCCTGCACAGGCCAAAAAAATCCCCGGGTAAGGAGGATTGAAGCGCTGGGACTGGTTTTGGATACAAAGATTCCAAAGCTTAAGGAGATGCAGAAGACCCCAGTCCCCGAGCCCCCAGCTGTCCCGCTGGGCTCAGGGGTGCCTGAAGTCCTCAATGGAACAGGGACACGGCAGGTTCTGGCAGGCACCACGTGCCACACATCTCCAGAGGCCAAGGAAAGCCTCGTTGGCTTCACAGGAGCCTCTGCTCACCAAAGGGAACACAACCGGAGTCAGGACCATCCTCCTCCAGCTCCCAGCACCGAGCCACTGGTTTTGGGTGAACCCATGAGGTCTTCAGCAGCTCCATCATCCCATTCCCTGCCTCTGGCTGCTCCCACTGGCATCCAGAAGCAGAGATGGTCACTAACTGATGGAGACCTGTGTTCTCCTCCCAAGCCCACAGCTGGCTGTAGGGGCCAGGGCACCCTGAGCCCGCGGGTCAGGGAGGCACCGATGGAGCCTGGCTCTGGGCCCAGGGCTCAGCTCCAGCCACGGAAGAGCCCGGCCAGCACTCGTCCCTCATTTCTCGTGGGGCTGGGCCCCACTGGAGCGCACGTGTTGGGATGGCACGAACCGCCCCGCGCTCCCTAAGGGCCGTGCCCGGGGAGACGGTGACCTGCTCCCCAAACCCGTCATTAGCCCCATGCTTCGAGGACTACGCACCTCAAACAACAACTGAGTCACGGCTGGGGCTGCTCCCAGCCCCTGTCCCCAGCAGCTCTCGCCCTGTTTGCCCAGGCAGCTCCGGGCCCGGCAGTGCCAGCGTACAAACGCCGGCAACACCCTCGGTGCCAGCTCTGCCCCAAACCAACTGCACTACGTGAGCTGCCTGGCAGGGTGGGAGGGAGCCCCAGAGACCACAGCAAAATGTCACCAAGATTCAGAGTAGCCAAGATTTCAGCTCTGCCTGAACAGCTGTTACACCCCAGAATCTCCAAACTTCACTGCCCCGGTACTTTTTGTACTACATTCTTCTATTTTTTTTTTTCTTTCTTTCCTGCTCTGTGCTCCCAGGTAACTCAATCCAAAGCCCTTAAATCACAGGAAATCGTGCAAGCTTCCCAGTTTAACAAACGACATCCTGCGTTACACGTTAGGCTCCAGCAGTTTTATTAGTCTTGGTCTCAGGACCCAAGAGAGCAGAAACCGCTTTCTTCGGGGGGAAATTAAACCGCATAAATTGTTGCATTTTCTCAGGACACCGGGAGCAAAGCAGAAAAGGCAAAACGGAGAGATCCCCCAACTCCAGGGGCTGGGCAGAGCTCTGATGGCTCGGGCTCGTGGCGGAGCAGCGAGTGGCGGCGGCGCGGGGCTGCCCCGCTCCGGGGTGATGCGGGGACAGCGCTGCGCACCCCGGGACCGGACATCCCCGCGCTGCTCCCCCCGGCAAGGCTGGGGGTGCCCGGGGAAGGCTCGGGGGTGCCCCTCGCTCCGGGGATCCGGGCACATCCCAGGGGCGGCCCCGGCGGCGCCTCCGCCCGCGCCCGCTCTGCCCCCGCGCGTCCCGGGGAGGGGAAATTCAAGCACCGAAAGAACTCCAGGAACAGGGGAACGGCGAGACGCGGCGCCGGGCACCTGTTGCGGACCCACCTTGTAGACATTCTCGGTGAGGCGGTGCACCTCCTCGGAGCGGGCCATGCCGGCCGGGCCGGGCAGCACCATGGGCGGCGGCGCGGGGTGCGGGGCGGGCGGGCGGAGCCGGGCGCGGGCGCGGGGAGAGCGGGGAGCTCCGGTCGCGATGCCTTATATCAGCTCCCGGAGGCCGTGCCCGCCTCGAACCGCCCCGGCCAGCCCCGAACCGCCCCGCGGGGAGGAGCCGGGCCGGGCCGGGCCGTGCCGCGCTCCGCGGCCGTGCGGGGATGGAGTAACGGGAGGGCTGCGAGGGAAGGATGCGCTGTGCCACATCCCGTGCCCATTCCCCGTGCCCATTCCACGGCCCCTTCACGTTCCACGCCCCCTCTCCACCCCACTGCCCATCCCACAGCCCCACCACCCCACACTATCCCCCGCTTTACCGCACCCCGCAGCTCTCGCTGCGCCCCACAGCCCTGTCCCGGACTCCAGCCCCTGCTGTACCCCCGGGCTGGGGCTGTGCTCCATCCCCGGCTGCGCAGCGGGGAGGGGATGGGTGAATGGGAATGGGACAAGGAAGAGCGGCCGGTGTTTTGTGGGGTGTCCGCAAAGAGGGTGCGCATTGCCCGGGGGGGCCGGAGAGCAGAGGTGGGATGAGCCGGACCAGCCCCTGCCCGCCACCTCGCTGTCCCCAGGCTGTCCCACCGCCTGGCCAGCCAGGAGAACCAGGATTCCCACGGGAGGCTCCTCCCGGAGCTCCCGGCTGTCAGGTCCCTGTGGGACACTCAAGCCATGGATCCCTGTCCTTCCCATCCCTCGGGCACACGGCAGGGACTTTTGCCCAGGTCCCGAGGGACACGAGGAGCAGGACCATGCCCTAAAGCCGGTGTCCCCATCCCTGTCCCCTGCCTCGCTGTCCTCCCGGCGGGGACGGCGGCTCTCCGCAGGGTGAGCCGTGGTTAATCGGAGCCTCACGGCCTGTGGGCCGAGCCTTCCTCTCCCTCCTCTCTGCTGCGGGAAGCAGTGAAACAGTTAAGCGGCTGAACATGTTATTTTCCATCACATCCATCAATTCCGAGAACAAGGAGCCCAGGTCGATACCTTGGTCCCAAAGCTCCTGTTGCTGTTCCCGCTCTCCCTCCCAGCCCTGGCAAGGAGCGGGAGGGCACCGGGAGCAGCTGCACCCTCTGGCTGCATTTGGGTCCCGTTTTGGCTTCTGCCTCAGAGCTTCCACACTCCAGAGCACAGCAAAGAACTCACAGCCCCTGAGAAGGATTTTTCTCACGTTTCTGGGGTGACCATTAACCCTTTCCCACTGGGGCTGAGGAAAGGCAGCAGCTGTGGCACCAGCGGGGGGACTGGGATCAGAACTGCCCTTGGAGATGTTCCCAGGGGAATTCCTGGCTGGCTGCATCGCTGCTGGGACACCACGGTGCCGCTTTTCCTCTTCCTCCCACACTCCCAGACCGCAGCCGGCTCTGCCGGGACTCCACACCCTCAGCCAGACACCAGCACCTCGCTGGCTCTCCAGCGTCGGGGAAGGATTCGGGATCAAGCATCCAGGAGTACAGTGCCTCTCTCTGCATCTCCATCACCTTATTTTTAGTTACGTTATGTAAGTTCTTCGCTACGTCATGGATGTGGGGGGTTCTTGCATCTAATTCCAGTGTGACAGCCCAGCAATTCAAACAAGCTGTTCCTCTGGTGAGGAAGATAAAAGGATTTGTAATTTCTGATAATAAAAGAGGCCTTTTGGGACGGCCCTCAGAGAATCTCTTCCATCTAGGCCTGCTCGCAGACAGCCGCTCCACTTTCTTCCCATGCTCTGTTTCTCCTTACCCCCCGGAATTTGAGCGCTGAAAACCTTTCTCCCTCATATCTCCCTGCTCCCAGAGCAGCTCCACGGCTGGAACCAGCCAGGGAGTTCATTTCCCCTCAGTCAGAGCCACATGGAGCAAATTATCCTCGTCCCTGGCTCTTGCCGTGTCCCCGGCCCTGGGCTGCCCGTGCTGCCCACGGCCCGGGAGCGGTGCCCGAGCCCGAGGCAGCGCTGCCGCCCCGCAGCCTCCCGCAGCACCCTGGGAATTCTCAGCAGGAAAAACCTGCCTCTGCCTCGTGCCGTAGCGTTTGCTTTGATTGCTTTTTATTTATTTATTTATTTAAATTCTTTTTTATTATTTTTTTTTTCTCTCCCCCTGGTTGCTGCTCGCTGCCTTTTTGTCAGGGTGATTCACTCCCCGGGGCTCGGCGGCAGCTGGAGCGTGCCCAGGGTAACCATGGTGCCAGAGTCCCCGTGGGTTACCTGAATCCCCGCCGCGCCTTCTCCGTGTGCCCTCTGGAAGGCGGGACCGTCCCCCGCGGGGTGCGGGCACAGCGTGGGGATCCGCCTCGCCGGGCTGGGAACAGCGGTGGGATGAGCAGGCAGCGGCCCCATCCCCGAGCGAGCCCTCCCCGGGGTGACGGCACAGCGGCACCGGCCACCTCCAGCCCCGGGTGGAGCCAAGTTGCTGTGGCAACAATAACTTATGTAATCCACCCCGCTCGGCTGCAGGTGTGGGGAGGAAATTGTGCTATTTTCGAAGTTTCATTAGGTTCCTTCTTAATTACCAGCGTGGCATCACGCCAGAGATCCCGGCCGGGTCACGCGCCCGGCCCGGGGACCGAGGGTGGGGACGGGGCAGCGACAAGCGAGGGCAGTGACAGCCGAGGGCAGTGATGTCCGAGGGCAGTGATGTCCGAGGGCAGTGATGATGTCCGAGGGCAGTGATGATGTCCGAGGGCAGTGATGTCCGAGGGCAGTGACAGCAGCCGCACCGAGGGACAGCTCCGGCCAGCACCCCTTCGGTGTTCCCAGCTCCGGGACACTCTCCCTGCTCCCGAAACGCCGCCCCGGTGGCTGCGGCGGCTGCCAGGGTGGGACACGGGAGGGAGGTGCGGCAGGACACTGCCCAGGGAGGGGAATGTGGCACTGCGGGGTCACTGAGAGCTGCCGCATCCTCGGCGACTCGGGAAGCCTCCGGTGACATGGAGAGAGGAGAAATAAAAGTGGGTTGGAATCCCTGGTGCATTTCAGTGGGGCATGTCACTGGCCGGCACGGAGAGGAGGAAGGAGAGGGACCATCATGGCACCAGTGCTGGTTTGTGTCACAGTCCCTGAGAAAATGCTCGGAGTTTCCTGAGGAAGATCCGCCCCCAGCTGCTCCACGTGGTCACTGGGATCTCCTGGCACTGCCAGAACAGGAGAGACCAGGCAGGGAACCGGACCAGGCTGAAGAAGCCACTTCCATCTCCATCTCCATCTCCATCTCCATCTCCACCTCCATCTCCATCATCTCCATCTCATCTCCGTCTCCCGTTTGTCCTCTCAGTCCCGCTGGCTCTCTGGCAGCCTTGGCTCTCTGTTCCTCCTGTTCAGTGTGTGCTGAAGGGGAGGCTGAGCCCACCCAGCCCTCGGGGTGGGCAGGTGTGTGCCCGAGTGTCACCGTGTTAATGAGATTCCCAGGAACTGCCTGTGCCGTGGTCCGGGGCAGATGGCTTCTCCATCGGAGCCCTGACATCACTGAAAGCCCTCCCTGTGCTGTGTCAGGAAGTTTTTATTTCTAAAATAATTTAAATGTGATTTTTCTGACATCTGGGGGTCACTGGGGAATCGGCCAGGTGGCTTTGAGCCAAACCAGCCCCATGAGAGCACAGGACGTGTTTTCCCTGAACACCTCGCCCAGTTCTGTCTCCTGCCCTCCTTGGGGTCCCCTCCTCAAGCCCAGCCTGTCCCCCCAGTTCATTTTGAGCCCCTCATGAAGGAGCTGGGCCAGCAGACCCCACAGCAGTGCCCAGGCCTTGGAGCATCTTCCCAAACCCAGCCTCAGCCTCCCCTTTGCAGTGCAGCCGTCGCTCACCAGGATTCCAGCAGGTGCCTCGAGCTGACAGTGAGGAGGTTCAGGTTAAATTTTGGGAATAAACTCCTCCCTGTGAGGGTGGGGAGGGCCTGGCACGGGTTTCCCAGAGAAGCTGTGGCTGCCCCATCCCTGGAAGTGTCCCAGGCCAGGTTGGACGGGGCTTGGAGCAGCCTGGGCTAGCGGAATGTCCCGTGAGCTTTCAGGTCCCTTCCAACCCCGGCCATTCCATCATTCTGGCACTGTTGGTGCTGGTGGGAGCTGGTCCCTGAATCTTCAGAGGGTCAGGACTTAGAAGCTCTCCCTGGGTTGGAGATGTCCCGCGTGTGCCAGCAGCTCCCAGCAGTTAAATCCCACCGAGCGCCACCGGCAGCCCCAGCAAAGCCATTTATTGGGGATTAGCCAAGGATGAACAATTCAGGCCCTTCCTCTGCAGGGTGGGAGCTGCAGCGCTGGATTCCCAACTCCTGCCTCACGCCCGGGGACTGGGACTCACAAATTGGGGTGGGATGATTTCACCACCGGGGAAACTGAGGCACGACAAAGTACCTGGCCTCTCATCACCCCAGGGTTTCCCCAGTCCCATTGGAAGCAGCATCTGAGCAAGACTCCCAGCAGCACAAGCTGCTGTGTCCAGGGATTCAGGGACAGTTCTGCTCCCTGGTGTGACACAAGCGTCACTCTGTGCCTCGGAGCACCCGGGGTCTCATCCCTGGGGACACTGGTGACACTCCCGGGGGGACCCCAGCACCCTCCGCTCCCTGTCCCGCAGTGCTCGGTGTCCAGGACACTCCGGTGCCAGCAGCGCTCCTGGAGCTGTGCCTGCCCTGTCCCGGCTGGGGACAGCCCTGGGGACATCCCGGGGACAGCTCTGGGGACATCCCGGGGACAGCCCTGGGGACATCCCGGGGACAGCTCTGGGGACACCCCTGGGACAGCTCTGGGGACATCCCGGGGACAGCCCTGGGGACAGCCCTGGGACAGTCCTGGGGACAGCCCTGGGACAGTCCTGGGACATCCCGGGGACAGCTCTGGGGACATCCCGGGGACAGCTCTGGGGCCCTGCAGGGCCGGGCTGAGCGAGCGGCCGGAGGAGCCGCGGGATCCCGGGAGGCTCCCGGGGAGCGCAGGCACAGGGAGGAGCCGGAATGACGGAGGAAAGCAGGAGTGGGTGGGAGAACAAAGCGCTGCGGATGCAGAGCTGAGCTGGG